ACCCCCTTCATTTTACCTACGCCTCAGAACTTCCCCACACTAAAACTGGTCTTCCTCACCTAAAAGATGTTATTTCCCCTTTTTCCCTATCATGATATCACAGTTCCCTATCTTCACTTTAAAAATTTCCTAAAATATTCCCTCCATCTTCCCAATCCCTTTAACTCTCCATTTAATAACTTCTCTCCTTTTTTTTAACTACAAATCCATTTGTTTTAGGCTTCCTTTAACTTTTTAAATCTAAAATTCCAAATTTTTTTCTTATTTCAACAAAATTTTGTAACTCCCCCACTTTCATTTGCTTCTTTTTACTTTGCTTCCCACTCTTAACCTCCCCTCTTTTTCTCCATATATTTTCCCTTTTCCTTGATCACTTCTATTTGTAAACAGCTCATATGCTAACTTTTTCCCCTTTTGGATATCTTATTTTTACATCAACAAAGAGCAACTGTGACAATCCCACTTTGTTGTTTTTTTTTTTTAAAAACCCCAACCTCTGCCAAATGCCTGAGCATTCGTTCTCTTACAACTCCATCTTAAATCGTATATTGAAAACCATGGGGACAAACCCCATCCCGTTAAGGCCTACTTTTTCTGGGAAAAAATTCCCCTCTCTTTACTATCTAACCCCTTTCTTGTTTTTGGGCCATTCTTGTACCCATCTACTTTTTCCACGTAACTAAACTAAATCTAACTGTTTGCCCCTGTGTGAACATGTACATCCAGAGGTCTACCTACAACCTTTTTTCCACCAATACAAAACAAAAAACTACTGTCATTGTGCCCTATATCAAAATTTTTGATTATCCTCATTTTTTAAAAATTGTATTACCTATCACCAAACCCTTTTTTTAAAAATTCAGTCAAAGGCCCTCCATTACCTTTACCCCGGCATCCCAAAATTACCCTTTATGCCCCTACAACTTTCTCCCGCCTTTGCATTCAGGTTCCCCCCCCAATTACTTCGTGTAACCCTCCCAAAATCTTTTCCCCTTTCCCCCTCCTAACCAATCCTTCTTTTAGGTGCATAAACACTTAGTAAAACCCATGTTTTATATCCAACCCTCAATTTAATCCCCCTAATCCTTTTTTTTTAGTTTATTTTCTCTATTCCTTCGTATCTGATTCTACAAAATTCTTGCTTTCCCCCTTTTGCTTTAACTGTTGATCCCTGATTAATCTCATTTTTTTCTTCCCACTGAAAATTCCCCCACCCATTTAGCTTTGTTTGGCTTAGAGCCGGACATCCTGCTTTTTTCATCATTCACTGACAAAATCTCTCTACTGCACTAATTCATGCCATTTAAACATCTTAAATTTAACCCCCTTTGGATGTTTACGCCCTATAAATACGTCTTCGCGCCACTGTTTCTGATGTATTTATGCATAAATTTAGCGGGTTAAATCAAGCGGGAAAGGCCCGGGGAGCCCATTGGAGAGAATAGGTCTCAGTGGTCGGTGTGCACCCTGTGAAAAAATCTGGACCCAGCGGTGCATTGTGGGAACGCTATCTTGGTAGTCCATTTTCACCATGCCTCTCGGTAAGAAGTTCCTCACTCCTCGGTGGATTGGAGGTCTTTTGTTCCCAAGTGTTAGCTCTAACAGCGATGAAAATGTCAGTGACAGTAAATTTTCCGGGGTTTTTAAAAGTGAGTGTGACCGAAAAAAGTGCCCAGGATAACGTAATTAGTGATGAAAACCCAGATGACCCACAACCTTCCACCTCTGGTGCTGGGCCGGCTTGTTCACGTTCGCCTGTACCAGGACGAAAAAGGAAACTATTTGGTAGCGTACAACACCCAGATGTTAGCAGTGAATGTGATAGTGATTTCAAGGTCATTGAAAGGGGTTTTCTATTTTGTGACAGTGAGGGTGAATATTCCCAGTGAAGCGGCAGTATGTACGACGCAGCATGTGGTCTGGTAGTGTTTCATATGCTGTTCCAAGGGGAAGGAGAAACTCTGTGAGCACATCCCGTGGCCCTACACCACGACCTGATAGTGAAAAATAAAGATATTGTTACGATGGGTATGATGATGTGAGTGAGGGAGCGGGCAGTGGTGGTGATAGTGAGGGTGGCACGACCCATGTGGCACCAGCAGCGGGCCACGCTACTACCCAGCGGGCTGACTCTGCACAACAACAACCAGCCTCACCCGACCCCACACTCCCAAAAACCTGCACAACCACAACCACGGTACAATATCCAGAACCCCACCAGCAGACCGCATCTGGGTATGGCAGGAAGGTGACGAGTTTGTTCCCATCTCCATGACTTTGATGAAACACAAAGTGGAATAAACCATCATGTCCACTTGGGAACAATGTATTTGAACTGGAATGCTTCAAGTTATTCTTCGATGAACCCCTAAATGGAACATTATTGTCAGGAAACCAACACATACTATGAAAAAAAAACATGGCAAATACAATTCTCTCAACCAAAATCACGGCTACACCAGTGGAAAGAGACAACAGTGGCAGAGATGTACCTTTTTTTTACCACAATAATGCTTATGCCACATGTGTAGAAGCACACTGTCACCACAATACTGGGCAACAGAACGCCTGATTTCAACTCCAGGTTTTATGACATTATAGGTGTCAATCGTTTCCTGATACTGTTCGTATGTTACATTTTTTCAGACAAAACCAGGCCTAAACAGAAGCGACAGGTTATAAAGATCAGAAATGTGTTTTTTGTACATTTAAACAAAAGTGCTGCATGTATTTTTATCCCTTCAGGAGCTTGTTATTGACGAGTCCTTGATTTTATTCAAAGGAAGACTCTCATTCAAGCAATATATGCCAAGCAAGAGGAAACGCTTTGGTATAAAGTTATTTGTACTGTGTGATTGCAGAAGTGGTCTAGTTTTGGATATCATTGTGTACACTGGCAGTAATACTTTGAGAGATACCATGAAGTTATTGGATATCTCTGGTGATGTGGTTAGAACAATGATGGAACCATATCTTGGTAAAGGGCATGTGTTATTTACTGATAACTGGTTTCACAAGGCCCCTTACTCAGTGATTTCTTGAGTGAACTTGACAGATGTGTGTGGCACAGTGCGTGGTAATCATAAACATTTGCCAAGGTTCAGCGCTGGCACTCGCAGAGGTGAGGTGCAAGCCTTTGCTGCCAATGACATCATGGCATTTCGGTGGCATGACAAACGTGATGTCACATTGTTGACATCAGTTCACCCAAACGAGATGGCACACAGTGGCAGGCACAACAGAGACCAATGAACCCATTCTAAAGCCTGCAGCTGTCATGGACTACAACCTCAATATGTGCTTAGTGGACAAATGTGACATGCAGATTGGGTTTGCAGATTGTGTACGCAGAGTTATAAAAGTGGTATATAAAAAATTTTTTTCCATCTTGTTGATAATCTATGCTAAATGCTTATAACATATACAAGTTGAAGACCAACAAAACACCAAAATATGGTGAATTTTGTTTGTCAGTAATCAGACAAATAATCGCAAAGTACCAAGGAGCATCACCTGCAATAGACCAGCGCCCACGAAATTGCCAACACACGCCATCTCGTTTCAGGCCTGGTGATCACTACCCCATACAACTGCCTCCTACTACTGCCAAGAAAAATGCTCAGAAGAGGTGTTATGTATGTACACATACCACAAAACGCCCACAAACACGCAGAGACACTCGTTTTGTGTGAGGAGTGTCAAGCGCCACTCTGCATATACCCATGTTTCAGAGAGTTCCACAAGCTGCAGCAGTTCTAGGAACGTGTTCAGTGACTGTATATATATTATGGAACAATAGTAATAAACATTGTTTTGTATTGTTTGTTTGTGTAAACAGTGTATACACAAACTAATAGTGATAAAGTTTGTTCAGTTAGTGTTGTAAACAATGAGTGTATATTTGAACAATGCACCTTACATTGGTCTCACAGGCCACACAAGTTACTTGGAAAAGAAAAATATTGAAAAATGCAAGAAACCTTTGAATTAGAGTAAATAAAAGAATACCGGGCAGGCGGCAGTCGCTGCTGTTGCCGTACGCACGTCACTTTCTGCAAACTTTGCGGCTCTATATCTCGGTAAGTACTGATGGCAAAAAAATTTGTTTAGGCTTAAAACACTCGGAAAAATATTCCTAACATTTTCATAAGAAAAAAATAATTTTTTTTTTTCGAATATTTGGCGACATAGAATGACAGTTTCAGAAAGGGGCCTGAAACAGTCAAAGGGTTAAATGGGAGTGAATCTGGCAAGTAGCAGGTTGAGAGGTGGGGGCCAGGAGCCATATATAGATGAGTACAGGTTGCTAATAACATTTTAGATAATTTGTATTAATTTATATCTGATCAGTGACATTCATATTATGGAGTTGTAAAATTATAGGGATGAGAATAATTCCTGAGTATTTACAAAAGATTGCTTCATAAAACATTTCAGGAATCATTTAATCAGTGATATTTAACAACTTTATCAAGGATGTTGGCAGACAGGGAACCTTTTGGAATTTTCAAACTGCTCCATATTTTTTGGACTTTTTATATGCTGTGAATTTCCAAACAGGTTGAGTCGTAAATGTGATAAATGATAGATATTTGTTCCTTGTACTGTCTGTGTTGTTATTTTCCAGGAAGAGTTTAAGCTCTTGAGTTAATGCTTGTACCTAACCGAGCTTCCTGTATAGTACATGTAGCACCTTGTATGTGTTTTTTTTTTTTCGCTGCCTCTGATTCTTGTCTTATGCCCATGTGAGTAGCTGTTTCTAAACCGAGTTTTATCTGCAATTGTCATTGATGAGTGAATGGTAGAAATTACTAGTGATGTGGGCCAAACCACCACCAGCTGCACCTCTAACATTTCACCTAACACAGCGCTGCAAAACTTCTTGTTTGATCTGTATATTATTGGTTAAACATGTACTGTATATATTTTTAGCTGCAGCCTCAAGATGAAGAAAATCTTGTGTATTATTACCATTACACCCTTTGTCTTTTTTTTTTCAGACACTGGCAGCATTCACTTTAATCTGCTTGATCAATTCGCCAATGTTAGATGGATTATACGACACGTCAGAGTTAAACATATATGTACGCTACCCAGATTACTACGTTCTGCCATGTGTTGTTGCATCTCTGTATGGTTTAATCGTTAGTAGTGAAGGCCTTATGTCCACTTTACTTGGCGCAGTGCACAGCAAATTGGTAAGTTTAAAATTTAACATATTATTAGGCATATTATTGTTTTTCTTTTTATTTTAGTAAGATATACGGGTTACTAGCCCATTGCTCCCGGCATTTTAGTTGACTTTTACAACATGCATAACTTAAAGGGGAAAGATTCTTATTCCACTTCCCCATGGATATGAACAGAAATAATAAGAACAAGAACTACAGTGATACCTCGCATATCCAGCCTGCCATTATCTGAACCTCACCACTATCCGAACAGGCCCTAGGAAAGGGCAAAATTCTAAAATTACTGAAACATCTGAACAGCCGTTCGGATACGGCAGAAGGCTGAATCAAACTTGGTGTGCACTTTAGTGTACTGGTTGGCCACTAGGAGCCTTGCTCTTCGCCTTCCTTTTAGCATTATTACAGCTGTGTTTTGTCCTGGCTATCTTGTGTATGGCACCAAAGAGGGCCAGAAATGTGCTTACTCTAGAAAAGAGGGAAATATTGTCGCATGTGGATGCAGGTTGGTCCAAGGCTAGGGAAAAAAACTACAGAAGACGACGTGCAGGACTGGCTAGTGTGCGACGAAGGTGACCCTGGTGTGCAATCTGACAGGGGCAGAGATTGCAGAATCAGTGTTGTTAGGTAAGACACATATGCAACAGTTAGGTATCTTTATTTCGAAACGTTTCGCCTACACAGTAGGCTTCTTCAGTCGAGTACAGTAAAGTTGATAGAAGCAGAAGATACTAGAAGACGATGTAATCAGTCCATCACCCTTAAAGTTTTGAGGTGGTCAGTCCCTCAGTCTGGAGAAGAGCATTGTTCCATGGAATGAAACAATATGGAGATGAAGTGACAGGATGGAGCCTTATATACCGCCAAGAGGTGAGATGTAGGTCACTAGAAGAGGTAAGAACTCAGATGCTGAGAGGTCAGGTCCCTCTCAAATCCAGCCGTTCTCACTAGTAGAGATTGTCGAAGTTGATTGTAGGTCTGTACCAAGATACTCTTGTGTTGCAGTGTCTGACAGATTGAACATTAAAATGGTATAAAATACCGACAGGTTGTTAGGTAAGACACATGTGCAACAGTTAGGTATCTTTATTTCGAAACATTTCGCCTACACAGTAGGCTCTTCAAATCCCAGTACAGTAAAAATTGATAGAAGCAGAAGATACTAGAAGACTATGTAATCAGTCCATCACCCTTAAAGTTTTGAGGTGGTCAGTCCCTCAGTCTGGAGAAGTGACCTACGTCTCACCTCTTGGCGGTATATAAGGCTCCATCCTGTTACTTCATCTCCATATTGTTTCATTCCATGGAACAATGCTCTTCTCCAGACAGAGGGACTGACCACCTCAAAACTTTAAGGGTGATGGACTGATTACATCGTCTTCTAGTATCTTCTGCTTCTATCAACTTTACTGTACTCGACTGAAGAAGCCTACTGTGTAGGCGAAACGTTTCGAAATAAAGATACCTAACTGTTGCATATGTGTCTTACCTAACAACCTGTCGGTATTTTATTCCATTTTAATGTTCAGAATCAGTGTTGCACCCAGAACATTCTGAAAGTGACGACGAAGACCCAATGCCTCCAAGACCAAAAGCTTTAACAGCAAGGGCAGGTGTCAAAACACTTATGGAGCATTTGGAGCATCCACTGTCCACAGCCCATTTGAAAAGTAATGGTCCTGTGGTCCTTGAAATCCGGTGGCTGTTATTCAAGCCCAGAGTGTCTGGTCCCACCACCAGACTATGTTGGACTCATTTTTTAAACCTACAGTGCCATGGCCAATGGCAGTATGACAGTACAAGGAGCATTTTTTTTTCTCCCTTGCTTATCTAGAAACTTAGTGTCTCCAAACCAGTCTCAGCCCTTGTATGTACTGTAGTTCAGATATGAGAGGTATCACTGTACGTATATTAAGAAAAAATCAGAAAACTCGGATGCATATGTATGTATATATAAATGTGTACATGCATGTGTAGCATGACCTAATTGTAAGTAAAGGTAGCAAGATATACTTGTTATCCTGTGTGTTTGAGATAGAAAAAAAGAAACCAGCACTCTTACCATCATTTTTTTTTTTTTTTTTTTTTCCAACAAGTCGGCCGTTTCCCACCGAGGCAGGGTGACCCAAAAAAAAAAGAAAGAAAATCCCCAAAAAGAAAAATACTTTAATCATCATTCAACACTTTCACCACACTCGCACATTATCACTGTTTTTGCAGAGGTTCTCAGAATACAACAGTCCAGAAGCATACACATATAAAGACACACAACATATCCCTCCAAACTGCCAATATCCCAAACCCCTCCTTTAAAGTGCAGGCATTGTACTTCCCATTTCCAGGACTCAAGTCCGACTATATGAAAATAACCGGTTTCCCTGAATCCCTTCACTAAATATTACCCTGCTCACACTCCAACAGATCGTCAGGTCCCAAGTACCATTCGTCTCCATTCACTCCTATCTACCACGCTCATGCACGCTTGCTGGAAGTCCAAGCCCCTTGCCCACAAAACCTCCTTTACCCCCTCTCTCCAACCCTTTCGAGACGACCCCTACCCCGCCTTCCTTCCCCTATAGATTTATATACTTTCCATGTCATTCTACTTTGATCCATTCTCTCTAAATGACCAAACCACCTCAACAACCCCTCTTCTGCCCTCTGACTAATACTTTTATTAACTCCACACCTTCTCCTAATTTCCACACTCCGAATTTTCTGCATAATATTTACACCACACATTGCCCTTAAACAGGACATCTCCACTGCCTCCAACCATCTCCTCGCTGCTGCATTTACCATCCAAGCTTCACACCCATATAAGAGTGTTGGTACTACTATACTTTCATACATTCCCTTCTTTGCCTCCATAGATAACGTTTTTTGACTCCACATATACCTCAACGCACCACTCACCTTTTTTCCCTCATCAATTCTATGATTAACCTCATCCTTCATAAATCCATCCGCCGACACGTCAACTCCCAAGTATCTGAAAACATTCACTTCTTCCATACTCCTCCTCCCCAATTTGATATCCAATTTTTCTTTATCTAAATCATTTGACACCCTCATCACCTTACTCTTTTCTATGTTCACTTTCAACTTTCTACCTTTACACACACTCCCAAACTCATCCACTAACCTTTGCAATTTTTCTTTAGAATCTCCCATAAGCACAGTATCATCAGCAAAAAGTAACTGTGTCAATTCCCATTTTGAATTTGATTCCCCAAAATTTAATCCCACCCCTCTCCCGAACACCCTAGCATTTACTTCCTTTACAACCCCATCTATAAATATATTAAACAACTATGGTGACATTACACATCCCTGTCTAAGACCTACTTTTACCGGAAGTATTCTCCCTCTCTTCTACACACCCTAACCTGAGCCTCACTATCCTCATAAAAACTCTTTACAGCATTTAATAACTTACCACCTATTCCATATACTTGCAACATCTGCCACATTGCTCCTCTATCCACTCTATCATATGCCTTTTCTAAATCCATAAATGCAATAAAAACTTCCCTACCTTTATCTAAATACTGTTCACATATATGCTTCAATGTAAACACTTGATCTACACATCCCCTACCCACTCTGAAACCTCCTTGCTCATCCGCAATCCTCCATTCTGTCTTACCTCTAATTCTTTCAATTATAACCCTACCGTACACTTTTCCTGGTATACTCAGTAAACTTATTCCTCTATAATTTTTACAGTGTCTTTTGTCCCCTTTCCCTTTATATAAAGGGACTATACATGCTCTCCGCCAATCCCTAGGTACCTTCCCCTCTTTCATACATTTATTAAACAGAAGTACCAACCACTCCAACACTATGTCCCCCCCTGCTTTTAACATTTCTGTCATGATCCCATCAGTTCCAGCTGCTTTACAACCCCCTTTCATTTTACATAATGCCTCACGTACCTCCCCCACACTTACATTCTTCTCTTCTTCACTCCTAAAAGATGGTATACCTCCCTGACCAGTGCATGAAATTACTGCCTCTGTTTCTTCCTTAACATTTAAAAGTTCCTCAAAATATTCTCGCCATCTACCTAATACCTCCATCTCCCCATCTACTAACTCCCCTACTCTGTTTTTAACTGACAAATCCATATTTTCCCTAGGCTTTCTTAACTTGTTTAACTCACTCCAAAATTTTTTCTTATTTTCATTAAAATTTCTTGACAGTGCCTCTCCCACTCTATCATCTGCTCTCCTTTTGCACTCTCTCACCACTCTCATTACCTTTCTTTTACTCTCCATATACTCTGCTCTTCTTATAACACTTCTGCTTTGTAAAAACCTCTCATAAGCTACCTTTTTCTCTTTTATCACACCCTTTACTTCATCATTCCACCAATCACTCCTCTTTCCTCCTGCCCCCACCCTCCTATAACCACAAACTTCTGCCCCACATTCTAATACTGCATTTTTAAAACTATTCCAACCCTCTTCAACCCCCCCACTACTCATCTTTGCACTAGCCCACCTTTCTGCCAATAGTCCGCTTATATCTCACCCGAACTTCCTCCTCCCTTAGTTTATACACTTTCACCTCCCTCTTACTTGTTGTTGCCACCTTCCTCTTTTCCCATCTACCTCTTACTCTAACTGTAGCTACAACTAAATAATGATCCGATATATCAGTTGCCCCTCTATAAACATGTACATCCTGGAGCCTACCCATCAACCTTTTATCCACCAATACATAATCTAATAAACTACTTTCATTACGTGCTACATCATACCTTGTATATTTATTTATCCTCTTTTTCATAAAATATGTATTACTTATTACCAAATTTCTTTCTACACATAGCTCAATTAAAGGCTCCCCATTTACATTTACCCCTGGCACCCCAAATTTACCTACTACTCCCTCCATAACATTTTTACCCACTTTAGCATTGAAATCCCCAACCACCATTACTCTCACACTTGATTCAAAACTCCCCACGCATTCACTCAACATTTCCCAAAATCTCTCTCTCTCCTCTACACTTCTCTCTTCTCCAGGTGCATACACGCTTATTATAACCCACTTTTCACATCCAATCTTTATTTTACTCCACATAATCCTTGAATTAATACATTTATAGTCCCTCTTTTCCTGCCATAGCTTATCCTTCAACATTATTGCTACTCCTTCTTTAGCTCTAACTATATTTGAAACCCCTGACCTAATCCCATTTATTCCTCTCCACTGAAACTCTCCCACCCCCTTCAGCTTTGTTTCACTTAAAGCCAGGACATCCAGCTTCTTCTCATTCATAACATCCACAATCATCTCTTTCTTATCATCTGCACAACATCCACGCACATTCAGACTTCCCACTTTGACAATTTTCTTCTTCTTATTCTTTTTAGTAATCTTTACAGGAAAAGGGGTTACTAGCCCATTGTTCCCGGCATTTTAGTTGACTTTTACAACACGCATGGCTTACGGAGGAAAGATCTTATTCCACTTCCCCATGGATATAAAAGGAAAATTAATAAGACCAAGAACTATTAAGATAAAATCAAAGAAAACTCAGATGAGTGTGTATAAATAAATGTGTACATGTATGTGTAGTGTGACCTATGTGTAAGTAGAAGTAGCAAGACATGCCTGTAATCTTGCATATTTATGAGACAGACAAAAGACATCAGCAATCCTACCATCATGTAAAACAATTACAGGCTTTCGTTTTACACTCACTTGGCAGGACGGTAGTACCTCCCTGGGTGGTTGCTGTCTACCAACCTACTACCTAAAAAAAAATACAGGTTTCTGTCTTACACTCATTTGACAGGACAGTAGTACCTTTCTGGGTGGTTACTATCTACCATTTGCTGTTTAGAGTGACATTTAAACTGTCATATCTGTGCACCTTTCCGAAGATAGTGATAGTGTGAATGATGGTGAAAGAATTTTTTTTTTTTTTTTTTTTTTGTCACCCTGCCTCAGTGGGAGATAAACAGTGTGTTTAAAAAAAAAAAATTGTCCCTTGGTTTTTATTGATGTCTGAAGTTCCCCCATGTAAAATTGTTTATGAATCACTTCAAAGGTGGCTCCAGTTGACATAAAAACATTTCAGTTGTCAGATCTTGATCCCAGGACTGAAAATTTAAAAAAATATTTTCCATTTTCTTTTTCCAAAAAACTTGTTTGTATTATCTGCCATTTTTATTATTTGATTATGCTGTTATTTTTCTTTATTTGTTTAAACTCCATAATTGTACAGTAAAATTGTTTCATCCTTCAGTTTCAACGGATAAAAAAAAAAAAAAATTTCAGTCTTCAAATACTTTCTATAAATATTTACTTGAAAATTCTTCTTTCAGATGCTTGGGACTACTCTAATATCAGCCATTTGTTACATGGCCCTGGCTGTTGTTGCATCACCCATATTTGTCAGAGCTTACATTGGTCCATACCGTATGTATTCACTGGTGATGATTTTTTCTTCACTGTTAAGCATTGTGAGCTTCATACATGCCATTGCCTGCCTGGTTTTTCCCAGCAGCATTAGAACACCTCCAAGCCTTATCAAGATCATTGCTAACAAGTTATCATCAGTGGTTCACTCTTCAAAGGACTTTATTATACAGGAAGCCTTGTCATTGACTTCATCTAAAGATTATAGTGCAGCTTTGCCTGAGAAAAGCAAATTTCGACTGCTTCGAACCTTGTGTTTAAATGTTTTCTCTTTGGTAAGTATATTATGATATTTAATATTTAGTTGATAATTTTTAGTGCCCACTGTAGTCTAGTCCTACCCTCAGGAAGGAAGTTGTGTGGTCAGATAAAACAGATTAACAACTAGTACAGTATGGTTTGATTTTGTTATCCAACCTACCTCAGGCTCAGTCTGGGCCAGCTGATGCCCTAAGCACAGCCCAGTAATAGTGCCTCCTTGGCCCTTCCATTGCTTAGCTGGCAAGACATTGACTCAAAAAATGCTGAAGATGAAATAAGACATTTAAAACAGCTTTCTTCAAGACCATCATCCCCCATGCCAGAGCACAATTATATTAAATATAAACGTTTTTCATTATATTTAACACTAAATAGCAGCAAGCAGTAAGAGCCAATTACCTATAACTAGGACAGCAGAAAAAAAAACACAAATTTTCATGATTGTTTTTGCTCTATTTAGTAAAACTGTTGCGAAGTAAAAAAATGCAAATGCACAGATACAGTGGTCCCTCAATAATCGTCCATAATCCGTTCCTGGAAGTGGGACTATTATCGAAATGGACGATTTACGAATCAATTTTCCCCATAAGAAATAATGTAAATTCAATTAATCCGTTCCTGACACCCAGAAGTATTAAAACAAAAAATTTTTTTACATGAAATATAGATGTAGTACATAAACAATACAGTGGCACATGATGAATTAAACATTAGCAGAATAACACTTACCTTTATTGGCGATTCTTCTTTGTGTATGGAAGACTGGAGAAGGAGACAGATTGGATGATTTACTGTTTGGAAGGGGAATCCCCTTCCATCAACACCTCGGGTACCAATTGCTTTTCTGGGGTTACTTCTCTTCTCTGTTTCTTAATGCCACTAGGACCACCTTGAGAGTCACTGGAGTCCTGTCTCGCAAAAAACTGTCCAGAGAGCTCTGTTTCTGGCGTCTCTTTAAAACTTCCCTAAAATGGGCCAGGACTCTGTCACTGTACAAGTTGCCAATATGGCTTGCAACATCCTTCTCTGGGTGATGTTTCTCCATAAATCTTTCCATCCTACCCCACATTTCAAAAATCTCCTTAATTTCTGAAGAAGGCACCTTCCTCCATCTCTCTTCCTCCTTTGCAGCAAGATTCTGAGCTGTGATCTGTTGCTCTTCCTGCTGAAGCTCTTGCAGCTCCTCAGTGGTTAGCTCTTTGTTGTGGTCCTCCACCAACTCTTCCACATCCTCCAAACTCACTTCCAACCCCATGGAACTCCCCAGTGCCACAATGGATTTAACAACTGACATAGGCTCATCAGGGTCAGCCCCCAAACCCATCAAAATCATTCTTGTGGACACAATCTGGCCACAATTTTCTCCAAGCAGAGTTCAAAGTCCTGGTAGTCACTCCTTCCCAAGCCTTACCTATAAGGCTTACGCAATGGAGAATACTGAAATGTTCTTTCCAAAAATCTCGTAGGGTCAAGTGAGTGTCTGAGGTCACATTCAAGCACCTTTCAAACATTGGTTTGGTGTAGAGTTTTTTAAAGTTTGCAATGACCTGCTGGTCCATGGGCTGGAGGAGAGGGGTGGTATTTGGGGGCAAGAACTTTACTGTGATGAACCCAAACTCCTTCAGAATTAGGTCATCCAAGTTTGGAGAATGAGCAGGTGCATTGTCCATTACTAGGAGGCACTTGAGATCCAATTTCTTTTCCAGGAGGTAATTTTTCACACTAGGGCCAAACACTTCATTGAACCACTCGACGAAAATGTCCCTTGTGACTCATGCCTTACTATTAGATCTCCAAAACACACACAATTTACTCTTCATAACATTGTTTTTCCTGAACACTCTGGGATTTTCAGAATGGTACACTAGTAATGGCTTCACTTTGAAATCCCCACTAGCATTAGCACAGAACATTAGCCTCAGCCTGTCTTTCATAGGCTTGTGTCCTGGCAGCGCCTTTTCTTCCTGAGTAATATAGGTCCTCTTTGGCATTTTCTTCCAAAAGAGGCCTGTTTCATCACAATTGAACAGTTGTTCAGGTTTCAGTCCTTCACTGTTTATGTACTCCTTGAATTCATGCACGTATTTTTCAGCCGCCTTGTGGTCCGAACTGGCAGTCTCGCCATGCCTTACCACACTGTGTATGCCAGTACGGTTCTTAAATCTCTCAAACCAGCCTTTGCTTGCCTTAAATTCACTCACATCACCACTAGTTGCAGGCAATTTCTTTACCAAATCGTCATGCAGCTGCCTAGCCTGTTCACAAATAAGTGACGTCATAAGACTATCTCCTGCTAATTGTTTCTCATTTATCCACACCAATAATAACTTCTCAACATCTTCGAGTACTGGTGATCTCATTTTTGTCAGCATATTTACCCCCTTTGCAATAACAGCATCCTTGATTTCCTTTTTCTTGACTATGATGGAAGATGTGATTGTACGGGATTTGTTATACGTCCTGGCCAGTTCGCCCACACGTACGCCACTATCATATTGTTCAGTGATGTTTTTCTTAAACTCAGTCATATTTCTCACCTTCTTTACCAAAGGCTTGGCACTAGGAGCTTTCTTTGGAGCCATGGTAGCTTATTTAGTACTTGCAAGCACTAAAATAAATGGAATATTATGAAATATTTCGCTGGAGCACGTGAGGGGACCGTCGCTCACTGGTAAACAATGGCACTGGCTGGGAAGGAAAGGCCGAGGCGGCTCGGAGCGTGAGTACACGTCCGGGACGAAGGACTATTAGCGAATTACCGGACCATTTGTGAGCCAATATTTTGATGAAAAAACAGGACTATTTCTGAAATGGACGACTTTCAGGCTGGACGATTATTGAGGGACCACTGTATATTGAAAAAGTCTTGTGCATAGCTGAAGCAAATTGTTTGTATCTGATAGATTGGTCTGTTATAAATGAATTAACCCTTTGACTGTTTCAGTAATATATATACATCTTATGAGCCATCGTGTTTGATATTAATACACATAAATTCTAGCAGCTTCAAATCAAGCAGGAGAAAGCTGGTAGGCCCACATGTGAGAGAATGGGTCTCCATGGTTCAGCACGCTATTTACATCCCCTTTATTTATTCCTGTTTTCCAATTATACACCTCGATCATATCCCCCCTAATTCTACGCTTTTTGAGAGAGTGCAGATTCAAGGCCCTCAGTCTGTCCTCATAGGAAAGATTTCTGATACATGGGATCATCTTTGTCATCCTCCTTTGTATGTTTTCCATAGCATTTATATCCATTCTGTAATACGGTGACCAGAACTGAACAGCATAGTCTAAATGAGGCCTAACCAAGGATATATAGAGTTGAAGAATAACCTGAAGACTTCTATTATTTATACTTCTATATATGAAGCCAAGAATTCTGTTAGCTTTATTGTGAACACTAATGCACTGTTGTCTTGGTTTTAGATTACTGCTAACCAGAACTCCTAAATCCTTTTTCCAATTAGTAGTACATGTATTAAGATCTACATTATTTAGTTTATATGTTGCATGGTTATTTTCCTGTCCAACATTTAAAACTTTGTATTTGTCTATATTAAACTGCATCTGCCACTTCTCCAACCATTGCATCAGTCTATTCAAATCATCCTGGAGTGCTCTAGTGTCCTCATTAGAATGAATTGGACGGCCTATTTTGGTGTCATCAGCAAATTTGCTTGTCGCTATTTATTCCCCATCTATGTCGTTTATGTAAATTGTGAACAACAGCGGGCCCCCTTTTCCCATCTCTCTCTCCCCCTATCCTCTCTCTCCCCTCTCTCTCTCTCCCCCTCTCTCTCTCTCCCCCCCTCCTCTCTCCCCCTCTCTCCCCCTTCTCTCTCCCCTCTCTCTCTCCCCCTCTCCCCCTCTCTCTCCCCCTCTCTCTCCCCCCTCTCTCTCTCCCCCTCTCTCTCCCCCTCTCTCTCTCCCCCTCTCCTCTCCCCCTCTCTCTCTCCCCCTCTCTCTCTCCCCCCTCTCTCTCTCTCCCCCTCTCTCTCTCCCCCCTCTCTCTCTCCCCCTCTCTCCCCTCTCTCCCCCCCTCTCCTCCCCCCCCTCTCTCTCCCCCCTCTCCTCTCCCCCCTCTCTCCCCCTCTCTCTCTCCCCCCTCTCTCCCCCTCTCTCTCTCCCCCTCTCTCTCCCCCCTCTCTCCCCCCCTCTCTCTCCCCCTCTCCCCCCCCCTCTCCCCCTCTCTCCCCCTCTCCCCCCTCTCTCTCCCCCCTCTCTCTCCCCCTCTCTCCCCCCTCTCTCTCTCTCCCCCTTCCTCCCCCCCTCCCCCTCTCTCCCCCCTCTATCCCCTCCCCCTCTCCTCCCTCCCTCCCCCTCTCTCCCCCCCTCCCCCTCTCTCCCCCCCCTCTCTCCCCCTCTCTCCTCCCCCCTCTCTCTCCCTCTCTCTCCCCCCTCCCCCTCCCTCTCCCCCTCTCTCTCTCCCCCTCCCCCTCTCTCTCCCCCTCCCCCCTCTCTCCCCCTCCCCTCCTCCCCCTCTCTCTCCCCTCCCCCCTCTCTCTCCCCCTCTCTCCCCCTCTCTCCCCCTCCCCCCCCTCTCCCCCCCTCCCTCCCCCTCCCCCTCTCTCTCCCCCTCTCTCCCCCTCCCCCTCTCCCCCCCTCTCCCCCTCTCTCTCCCCCTCTCTCCCCCTCCCCCCCTCTCTCCCCTCCCCCTCTCTCCCCCTCTCCCCCCCCCCTCCCCCCTCTCCCCCCCTCCCCCTCTCTCCCCCCTCTCTCTCCCCCTCTCTCCCCCCTCCCCCCCCTCTCTCCCCCTCTCTCTCCCCCCTCTCTCTCCCCCTCTCCCCCCTCTCTCTCCCCCTCTCCCCCTCTCCCCTCCCACCCTCCCCCTCTCCTCCCCCCTCTCTCTCCCCCTCTCTCCCCCCCTCTCTCTCCCCTCTCTCTCCCCCTCTCCCCCTCTCTCTCCCCTCTCCTCCCCCTCTCTCTCCCCCTCTCTCTCCCCCTCTCTCTCCCCCCTCCTCCCCCCCTCCTCTCTCCCCCCCTCTCCCCCCTCTCCCTCCCCCTCTCTC